TGGTCCTGGCCAGGCTTCCCTGTCCCCTGTCCTGCTGGGCCACAGAAATGACCACTTTTCCCTGTAGTTCATGTGCATACTTGAGTGTTTCCGTTGGGCCCCAACTTCTTGGCCTTGCCTTCCTGTTTTCCTGCCCAAAGCTCTCCAAATCTGTGCCTTCTACCTTGGCCGAGGCTCCTCTTTTCACATCTTTTCCCGTTAATTGGTTGGCCTAACATTCTACAGCTAAGAAATGGTCAGGATGTGATTTGAACCAAAGACTAAGCTCTTTCCACTGCCACCCCAATGCCTCACCATGGGATGAACTGTCCCATAATAACCTGTTGTTTCTGGCAGCACCCCTTCCAGGGCCCTGGCATGTGGCAGGAGCCAAGTATGTGTGATTGAAGTAAAGTAAGAAGCCTTCCAGACCCCCAGCCCCTCATATGAAGCATGTCCTTAGATTTGCCCACATTAGCAACCATGTGACTCCACCTGGACAGAGTACATCACACCTTCTCCAAGTCCCAGCCTTCAGGAATCTGCTGAGAAAGCCTGTGTGCATCTTATCCTTTCCCTTTACAGTGTTATGGGCTCACCCTTCACTATGCCAGATGGACACATCCTCATCATTCTAGGATATACCAGTGGGTTCTTTCCAGCATCTAACTGGAAGAAACAAGTTGAGATCAACCCATGAACAGTGAGGTCACAGTACCCCCACACCAAAGGATCTGCCTGGGGAAGCTGAGCTGGTCTTGAGCCTGAGTCTGGAATTGGCCTCAGGAGGAAGGAAGCAGCATGGCCAGACATGGTGCCTCTCAGACTGGGATATGATTCCCTAGGGTCTGTCATAGGGAGTTGAGGGGACCAAAGCCACATGAAGGACCAGGGCACATCATGTAAAAAATACAGTCCTATTAAATCAGGCAAATTAGAGTAGAAGGCAAGTATCACATGAATTGTTAAAGTAAAACAAGAAACTATGGAGGAATTTTAAGCTTGTCTGATTTGGGCTTTACAAGATCCATTGGGTTATCTGTTCCACCCCAGGCTTTGCTATTATGGGTAGACCCGTGGGAAAACCTGAGACACAATGGAGGAAAAATATTGTCTTTGAAGTCAGAAGAATCAGTTTAATTCCTGGATCCCCTCTGTTCACTAACTGGGGAACTGTGGACAAGTGATTTCTCCTCTCTGAGCCTCAGTTTCCTCATCTGTAAGATGGTGACAGTTGCAAACACATCTTAAGGATGTTGGGAGAATTCAGTGAGCTCACTTGTTAAGAGTCCCCAGCACACGGTCTTCTGGTTCCATGTGAAGGCTCACAGTTGGCAGGCCACTGCTCAGGCCGCACCCAAAGAGAAGGCCAGCACTAAAAGCAATCTGATCCCTCTGTTCCCACAAAGGGAGGCCTTCTGTGGTCATCTAGAGGCCCAGAAAGGGCGAAAGGACACAATGTTGAGGCACAGCTAAGATACTGCCTAAAGCCATCTAGGCCACAAATGCATGCAGCTTGGGGAGAGTTCCTGGCTTCTTCTGCACACCTCCAAACAAGGTCCATACCTAGGAGGTGGCCCTGAGGCTCTGTACTACTTGGGGGTACTTCCCTTGGCTCCCCAGAGACGAGAGGCTAGTCTTTGATGTGGAAACCCAGAGATTGATACTACTGATACGGTTTTCCTCTGAATTGTAAAAGGTAGCTCATCCTCTAAGTGGAGTGGGGTGGGAAAATACCTTGGGGAAGGTGGTGTTTTCTCTTATTTCCCAGGGAATGGATCAAGTCCAAATTCCAGGGCATCAGTGCCCCCATCCCATCCATCATGCCCTGCTACATGCATGCCATGTGCAATCTTAGGGAAAATATTCCCATCATGAGCCTTAATTTCTTCCTCTGTAAACTGGCCTAAGACCTGTTCACTGCCATGCCTTCTTTGGAGAGTAGCTGCATTTTGAGGAAATGGGGGCGCTGAACTGGGGGAACCATCGCTGGGCCTTGTTGGGTCGATTACCCCACCATGGCCTGAATTTTTACAACTTCCCTTATCCCTAAAGTCAAAATTTAAATTCCTACCATTTGAAATGATAGAAGCCAGTGTCATTTTTATCTGCCAGCTCTGTCACCCCTTCCAGAGCAAAATAAATCCTAGGATTTGTGTTGGATAGCCCCCCTCCCCCATTCTGCATGGATGAGCCAGGGTCTGAGCAAAGAGCATTTGATTTTCTCTGCTACAGGCTCCTTGAAGGCTGTCTGAGGGCTGGCAGGAGCAGTGGACTGGAGCCAGGGGAAGCCAGCACGACCAGTGGGAGCTGAGGCCTGGGGACCTGCTCAAGTACACCGGGGAAAGGACCCATCAAAGGAGAAGAGTGAGTTCACTGGGGGGGCTCCTTTGCCTTCCTTCCCTTTGAGATGCTTCCTTTTGAACCTCCAAAGTGACAGCCCTTCTGTGATCACGTCTGGTGTCCCTGGACTTCCAGACAGCTCCAGAGCCCACACCAATGGGAACAGTTTCTGTGGGCTCCTTTCATGTCCCATCCTCATGGGCCTGCAGTGGTCACCCTGCTCCACGGTAGAGCAGAGACCCTGAGTTTCTCACAAGAGTGGAGTCTCATGATCCACTGCATATTTTGTTCCAGCAACAAAATAATGAGCAGACAGACAAATAGATGTGATAGTAAAAAGCACACGCTTAAAGGAATGTTTTCACAGTGTCTGATGAAAGGAAAGGAGGCAGCCTCACTGGCCCCAGAGGGAGTCTTCTCTAACACTGAGCTGAGCACATCACTCAGATGCTCTCCTCGCTCTCTGTTGCCCGTAGGGGTAAGTCTGTGCTTTTGGTGGAACACTCTTCTCCCTGACCCTGGCTCATCTCCTGCCGCCCCTCCTGTCGTACTTTGCTCCAGCTGGGCTGACCTCTCACCTGCCTGCCTCCCATCCCAGGGAGTTTTCACACCTCTTTGCCACTATACATCCTGATCCCTTGGACTGATTTCCTTTTCCTCTTTTTTCTACCTGTTGAGACCCAGCTTGAATGGGCACTACTTCCTCTAGGAAGTCGTAGGCAGGCAGAGGGTCTCTTGCTCCCAGTTTCATATGATGCTCATACGCTGCACCACTCCTGTACTGGGGTTCAAGCTCCCCAGTATACAGGGAGCTCTTGGGGAGAAAAACTGTGCCTTATTGAATTCTGTGCTCCTTATCTCCTGTCTGGGGCCAGACCAGCCTCCACGTGGAGCTTCCTAGATCCCAGGCTGCCCTGAGGCTGCCAAATACTGTGCCTCAACACCTAGTAGAGGCCAAAGTAGAGCATGTCCCTGGCTTACAGACCTCACAGCCTGAGGAAACAGGCAACTGTTTTCATTGGCCAAGAAATCAGATGGGACTAGCTTTCCTGGGGAGCTGGGAATGACTTACTAAAATATATCTGAACTACTGGGCTTCCCAGAAGAACTCGCATCAGAAAGAAAGAACTCCATTGTGGAGTTCTCTGCTCAGAAGTTTCTGGCCTTATTTTCCCTCCATAAAATAAGTGCTTTGCTGAGAAAGATGAAGGAAACAGTACAAATGGGTCTTATCACCAATATCTGCCTTTCTGGAACCCAGGATTTCATCAGTGAGGAAGATGCCTCAGTTTCCTCAATTGTAAAGTAGAGATGACAGGCTAGTAGTTCTCTCATGGGGGTTCTAGGACTGCGTGAGATGTCATAAGGAATGTGCCAAGCCCGACGTACAGTAGATGCTTAGCAAATATTGCTTCCCTGTCACTGGGTCACCCATACTTTACTTTCAATAAGATCCTAGATCCCTGGTATGATCTCCTTGGCCTATTTTAAACTACAGCATAACTGGGCCCATGATGACCTTTTTCAAGATGTCAGCTAGGGGTTTCTCTAGGAAGGAATTCAAATTTGGGGATCCAAGATTATGCACAAAGCTAGTATCATCTTCCCCATCTGAAGGGACCATCTTCAGACTAGCCTGTCGCCCTTGCTCAATGGCATCGCTGTCCTAGGGTGGGATCTTTTAAGGACATTGCCAGGAAAGATTACAGGCCCAAGAGATTTGTCTTATACTTACACACCCAAACTTCTCTCCCCCTTTTATTTAGACGTAAGAGACTAAGATTTTACATGCCCAAATAAAGTTTTTTCCCTATACACTTCAGAAAATAACCAACTCTTTTCTCTCTCCTAAAGGAAGCCACCACCCAAGAGACACAAGGTCAGCCCTGCCCTCCAAGAGATGGTTCCTTTTCACAAAGAAAAGGAAGAGCAGCAACATTCCACACTCTCCCTCCCACTGATTACAAAAAAAGCAAAGAGAACGTTTATCAAAGGGCGTGGACACAGCGGACTGGCCAGTGAACAACAGGTCAAGGCCTAGGCTGGGGGAGGGGTTCAAAATGGTATCGGGCCAAGCCCCATGCAGGTTATGTTTGAGAATGGGGACCTCTGCTGTGGTCTCAGGAGCATCCCGAGGTCACACTGATCCAGACCGGCAGGTGTCCAATGCCAGAGATCCCTGAAGGAGCCTACAGCAGGCAGCAGAGCAGGCCCCCCCCCCTCCAAGAACCCCATCATTTCCATGACTGCATGGAGGAGTAGAACAGATATCTCCTCTACTCTCAAGGAAAAGTGAGGCAGGGAGGTGCTGCTGAGGCTGTCACTCCCCAACGCTCACACAGTCGGCTTGCCATGAGATTCACAAACTTGAACAAAAGCAAGAGGTCTGGGAACCAAAAAATCCAGGGCCTCGCCATGGGTGCACGTGTGCATGGGCCCATGGCTGTGGCTGGTTGGGTGTGGAAGGGAAGTCTGGGCCTTTCAGAGCAGCATCCCCCACAGCTACAGGAGACCCTCAGAAGGTGCAGGCCCACCACGGAACACGGACCACCAGTCTTCTCCTTGGAGTTGGGCAGGGGGCCGCCTCTTAGCCCCTGAGCCCAGTCACTGCCATTCACAGAAAAGGGGGCTTGGCTGCAGCAGCCTCTGGGCTCCGGCAGATTCCCCATCCCATTGGGCTAAAAGGAGCTTAAATATTCCAGTGCCACCTCGTATACAAATTTATACTGTTCCTGAGAGGGGGAGAGGCAAAGAGGAAGCAGAGTAGGCAAGAGAAAGAAAAAAAAGGAAAGGAGAAATGCATTTAGGTTAGAGACACAGATTTTGGAAGAAACTTTATCTACATCCATACTAACAGTTGACTCAAAATTATCCATGTAATTATCTGTATCTGGACATCCCCCCAAGTTGTGCCCCAGGCCTGTTCACACCCACGCTTTCCCAGATGCCCAACGGGATCATTCTCTTCCTTTTCCCTGTTTTGGACACTAGTGCTTCTCAGACTAAAAGATGCATATGAAGCACCCAAGAATCTTTCTAAAATGCAAACTCTGGGTAAATCTGGAGTGGCTTTAGATTCTGTGTTTCTAACAAGCACCTAGATGACGCTGACACTGCTGGTCTATGGATGAGAATCTAAGTAGGACCATGCTTTGATTAGGTTAAGACTCTTCTATCAAAGTTCCCTGTGTATGGTCTGTTCCCATCACTGCACCAGGCCTTAGGATCTGGGCTCTGCCTGCTCACGTACTTTCCATCGCTTTCTCCACAGTGTCCGAGCCCTGTGCTTACACTGTGCAATTCACATAGGTCAATTAGAATAGGACTGGACTGAATTGAAAATATAATTCAGACTCCACTAATCCAGAATCCCTTCCCCTAAACCTGAATTAGCGATATGAGGATTAGTGTGTCAGGATTAATATTTGGACTGCCCTGCAGGAGAAGGAAGTTTGTGTGGTTGGAAGGGATGTGAGCAGAGCAGATAACTGTGCAAAGGGTTTAGACTGTAAGGGCTCACTAAGCGCCCTGCTGTTGGGTGTTTTTCTATCTGATGCTATTTTCTCCAGGTCAGGGGAATTAGGGCCAGCCCCCAGACTGTGGAAGAAGGTTCTTGGGACACTCACCAGGGTCTCCACCATGTTGGACTTGTTGTTACGTAGTGTTTTCACAATGTGGAACACATCAATGATGTTTTGCTGTTGGATCATCTCACACACGCTGCAGATGGCACAGAAGGTTCCGCTGCGGCCGCCCCCATTTCTACACACAGAGTGAAGAGGTGAGCTATATTCCTGGGCACCCTCCCAGCACCTGCTCATCCTAAAGCTACATCAGCAGTAGTGGGGGAGTGGCTGCCCCAGCAAATGCAAGGTCAGGCTATGGTGAAAGCCTTAGCGGTGTCAGTCCCACTGGTGCCATGAGCCTGCTTTGACCTTGAACAAGCTGTTCCCTGTTCATATAATGGAGGGGCTGGACTAGATGCTCTTTGAGAATTCAATTAGCTGGATGTGTCTTTGGTTCTATGAGCATGTGAAAGTCATACATGGTACACTGACCCAAACAGTGTGACAGTGTGTCTCTGTACATGTGGTGCCTGTATCCTTGTTCAAAAGGAGGATCTGGTTCCACCTACACATCCAGTGAACACAGGGGAAGGTTCCAGGTGGTTTTAATCCTAGTTCTTCCCCTCCACTAAGGATAGAAACTCCAGAGACATCACTGTTAGCCTCAGGTCAGCCAGTCTAGGTTTAGGGGTGGGGCTGGGTGGGTCTGAAATGCTCTATTTTGAGATGATAGGTCTCTGGACATCCTGGTTTAAGCAAGACCCTGTCGATCTGGAGAGTCGAACTAGAGGGCCCCTGGCAGGGTCATCTCTCTGTCCCTCCTTTCTGGTGCTCCATAATTCATGTTCATGAAAATGCACCTCCAACTATTTACAGAAAGTCCCTTTAGGAAACTACCTGATTCAGAAATCCTGGGCACGTTGCCAAGAGCAACTAATGATTTCATGTAATGGCCTGTGTCTAAAGAACATCTGGATGGAAACTAAGGCACTTGATTTCCCAGATGTTTTATGTATAGGACACCCAATGAGCAGATGTTTCAAGTACAGACAGTTGCCCTCCATTCACTGGCCATTGCATTTCAATGTCTCTTTGGTATCTCTGGCCTCCAAGGATGCCAAGGTCCCTGTTGATAGGAGGACCTGCCTATGCTTTCCTTCAGTTCAAACTGCTGGTCACCTTGGCTAGGGGCGATATGGATAAAAAGGTACTCCTGCAAAAAAGCAGGCTGAAAAAAATCACATGGTAAAGAGTAGGAAGGGATTCCCCTAGAGGGAGTGTTCAGTACTTTCTGAAGCAAGAACAGAGTCCAAGAGAAAGAGGTAAGTGGGCACAGAAACCCAAGGGTCTGATGGAGTGAGACCCTGATGTGATGGTAATGACTCTGTGCTAAAGGTGAGGCCACCTGACTGTGTGAGAGGGATGTGGAAGGGGCAGGGGTGAATTGGCAGGGAACCAGCTGCCAGTTTCTGGGATGTGGGTAGAACTAGCTTGGTTTGGCTGATGTCACCCATCAACGTGACACTGACACCTCACAGCATCTTCCTGAACCCCAGTTTGTGATTTGCATCCTTTGAGAAAAAAAGGATTGTTATAGGTGGTGGCCTTAAGTCGCGCGCGTGTGTGTGTGTATGTGTGTGTTTGTGTGTGTCTGGTTTTCCTGACATGTGCATACACCACCTATTTGAAAGAGGGGAACAATGAACAATAGCTGGTTTTGAAAAGACTGAACTCGATTCTGAGGTCAGTAAGGTGTTTTCAATGGGCTCCAGACATATTTACTCTAAAAAGGGAAGAGCTCACTCCCATCTCCTCTGACGCATTTTAAGAGAGTTGAGTCCTCTCAGTCACTTTCCCCCAACCCTCCATGTTCTGAGCAGCAAAGGGAATGGTTGCCAGTCATATGTTCCACATATGGCTGTTACAGCTACAGAGGTGCTCTGGGTCCGAGATCTTTGCAGAATCCTTCTCAGAGGTCACTCTATATTCTTAGGGTAGACTCCAACACAGGCTCTGAAGTAACTGTCTTTATAACATTTGCATATTTGCTACCATGATGTCATGAATCTGTATGTTGGAAGATAACTTGTGTTTGTTCTCTAAATATTTAATGACAAAGCACGATAGGGTCTTAAGATGACCTATTTTAACATATGCACTGGGCAGATGAGGTAACTGAAGCTCACTCAGTTAACTTTCTTGATGACAGCCTGTCAGCCACAGTCCCCTAAGGGTCCTGACCTCCACCTGGCATTATGACATCAAGGTCTATTTGGGAAACTCTGTGCCCCAGCTTTGCCCATTCTGAGATAGGTGGTAAAGGTTACAGTGTACCCCAGTAATGGACATATCACTACAGCTGTGAGCCCACTGTGCCATGGGAAACAGTGTTTCCAGGGCCCTTCACACCCATCGATCAACCCCTCAGGGGCATTGCCTTCCCTTCAGGCTCCCCGTGTCCCTGTGTTCCCAGTACGCCCATAGCAAGAGATGCCCCTGAAGGAGGACACGGCTGATGAGTCCTTTGGTTTACTCAGAGGCAGTGTGGGTTAACAGCATATTGACTTGCATGTCGGTGGATTCAGATCAAAGCTCCTCACTTAACTACCCAATCTCTCACCCCTCCTGTGCCTCAGTTTTTTCACTATAGCATGGTAATATCTACCTTGTAGATGGTATTTTAATTTTAAAATTCATTTAAAATATCTGGCATCAAACTCAATCAACACATGCCCTTTCTTCTTTTCCTCCTTTAGGAAATAATTGGAGGATCTAGTCAGTGGAACCCACTCTGTCATAGCTTTCTAGTGACTAAGAGGACACATCATGCCTCTTGTTGGGGGTTGGGGCTCCTCTCCCCATTAAGAGTGATATGGATGGGCACCTGGGTGGCTCAGTTGGTTAAGTGTCCGACTTCAACTCAGGTCATGATCTCGTGGTCTGTGAGTTGGAGCCCTACATCGGGCTCTGTGCTGACAGCTCAGAGCCTGGAGCCTGCTTCAGATTCTGTGTCTCCTCCTCTCTCTGTCCCTCCCATGCTCATGCTCTGTCTCTCTCTGTCTCTGTCTCTCAATAATAAATAAACATTAAAAAAATTTAAAAAGAGTGATATGGACTGGCCTGCCCACTCCCTAAGTCTATGAAAGTTTACCAGGTTCTGTATCAATGACGTGTCATATAATCTTAATTCAGGACAACAAACTGGCAACCCCAGTCCATGAAAGGTTATATTTCCTTGAACACCTGCCCCTTGGCCTTTGAGAGATGTTGAGAGGTGGTATGGCCAGGCGTGCCTATGGCTGGTGTTTGTGGGCAGTGGCATCCTCAAGGACAGACGCCCTGTCACCACCACCCTGCTGCCCCAGAGGCCCCACCACGGTACTCACAGGCAGTGGACCACGGTGCGGCCCTCCCTCCCGTCATACTGCTCCTGCCACTTCTCCAGCCGGCGGACCACTTTGAGCAGAGAGCGCTTGGAGGGGGGCGTGTCGCGGTAGGCAGGCCAGCCAATGTACTGGAGGTGCTGGACTATGCGGTACCCATCCTGAGGCTGAAAGCGGAGAAGCTGTTAGGGCTGTGCTTCTGGGGATGCAGACCCTTCAGCTACCCTGGGGGCTGCATCATTGCAGTGGAAGACAGACTAAATGGGCTGTATGCCATGTCATCACAGTCTGTCTCTCCCCATTCTCATCCTTACACCTTTGTGCACACTAATTCTCCTGCCATGACTTCCCTGCATGCCCCTCTACCTGCAAAACTACTCAGTTTCCAAAACCCAATTCAAATGTCCCTTTCTATAGGAAAAGCCTTCCCTGACTCACTCCACTGGGCAGAATTTGTCTCTCTCCCTGAGGTTCACGTGCCAGAACATATCTCATGTTCCCACTGGACAGTGAACTGAGGAAGAGACACAGTTCTGTTCACCCCAGGGCCCCAGTAAAGACCAAAGTCTTCATTACCCATTTCATAGACTACTGATCTGCCCTTCCCACCTAATACTTCTCTACCTAGCCAGTGAATTTCCCCATGGAAGCAACTAATTATTTTTCATCTTGGTGTTCTTCAGGTCTAGCCCAAAGCCTACTGGATCCATTCAAAGGCTGCATCAACTCATGCCAACATAGTGCGACACAGCGGGGAAGCACTAATTCCTGAGAAGTTTTGACTACATGGCAGCAAGTGTGTCGGAAACAGGCAGATGGCAGGCTGGGTGTCTCCCCATGCATGTCTGAGTGCTGGAGCCATGGTTGGGTCTGGAGCCGGAATCGGCAGAGGCACCGCTTCCCCAAAGTTGGGATTATCAGGAGAGTACAGCACAGACTCCTGGCTGGTGTGTGTCATCTTCTCCCACTAGCCCTCATCTGTTTTGGGGTGGGGGAGCAGCACAGGAAGTGATAGTGGACATCCACTTACCCGAGCCATGTTACAGATGCGGAATATTCTGTGGATGATGTCCTCATCGATGTCTGCAGACACGAACTCCACCTGGATGGGCCCATAGCATCCAGAGGTCTTCTCAGGCCAGTACTGCATACAGAGCTGGGGCAAGGGAGAGATCAGAGGGAGAGGTCAAGGAGGGGTGGGGGGTGCTGATCTCATTTACCACCAAGCCTTTCTTATTGCCTGCAGGAAACACTGGCTAGAAGTATTAGAGTATTAGGTGGGAAATGGTGATCCTGCCTGTGATCTTTCCTATTTTTCTGGAATTGAGTTAGAACCTACAGCTGAGAGCAAAAGGCAATGCAATGATTGCCCTTTAACTAGACAGTGGCTTTCAGCCAGAAGTTGTTTTGTCAGCTAAGGGACATTTGGCAGTGTCTGGAGACACTTTTGATGGTCACACCTGGGGGTTGCTATGGGCATTTAGTGCATAGAGGCCAGGATGCTGCTAACCATCCTACGGTGTGCATGATTGTTCCTGAGTGCGATCTGGCCCCACATATCAATAGAGCAGAGATTGAGAAACCCTAGTCTGAGATCCTAAATTGTTCCCTATGTTTATAGTGCCATCAAGGAGAGACAGATAATTTATTCCCTGGTATCTGTGGAGCTGTTACGTGACTTTAGTTGGGAAAAGAATATTCAGGTAGGTGGCGGGTATTGTGGCTCAGAGAGGCACAAAGCTTCCTCAAATCCCCAGTTTCTAAGGGGCATGGAGATGGACCCTGTCCAGGTCTACAGGCCCATGGTTGGGGCTCAGATGGAAGCTAAGATTGCAGCTGCAGGCTTGTTGGGGACCACCCCAGTGTGGACAAAGAGGTCATGTGTTAGACCATTGGCAAGGTATTGGAAAATGTACCCGAGGCTCATAAAGACCCACCATGTCTTCTGAGAGCAGGTTGGGATCAAGTCTTTCACCAGTGGGGTCTGCCATAGCCTACATCGAGCTTGCAGACAAGGAGCTAGATTGATAGGTGACCCATGGGACTCCGATGGCCCCCTACAGCCACCACGGATGCAGGATTTTCATGAAAACAATCCTTCTCCCTTTTGTTGACAGAGAACAGCCAACTCTCCCTGGGCAGTCATGTGCAAAAACATCTTTTATTCTATTCTTCCTCCATAACTAGAACCAGAATGGAAGAGCAGGGAGGAAGGAGGATGTAGGAGAGAGAAAAGAACCCAACCTCCAGATTGGGAATAACATGTTCAAATGATGGCCTACAGGCTAAACCTGGCCAGTTGGCTGAATTTGTAAATACAGTTTTATTGAAACACATCCATAATTACTAATTTACATATTGTCTATGGTTGTTGTCAAGCCACAATGGCAGATTTGAGTAGTTGAGAATACCCTGCATAACCTAAAATAGACTTCAAAACCTCAAATATTTCCTTTTTTGTCCTTTATAGAGAAAGTTTGCCAACTCTTGACCTTCATTGTTGTTCTAAGGATAAAGGAGATGATACATGTGACGAAAGCCCTCAGCACAGTGCCAGGCATGGACTAAGCATCTGCTAAATTCCAGTGATTTGCATTATTCTGGAACCTATCAGTATCCAGCAAACACAACCACCATAATAATAGCTAACCTATACGTTTGAAGTACTCTTTTTATCATTTCCTTTAAATAGCCAAGACTAGCAAGGCTAGGTTTCACAATGCAATGGTGCCTTGCTTTCCCATCCCCACTGCAGGTTAATTGAGCATATTCAGTGTGTGTGTGTGTGTGTGTGTGTGTGTGTGTGTGTGTGTGTCGGTGGTGGAGGGGGCAGGACAGTTATCTGCTGAGCTGTGCAATAATGACAAATCCATAATTTGAACTTCATTTCTCTTTGCCACTGGCTCTTCTGGCTTGCAACTTTCACAGTAATGAGGGACTAGTAGAGATAAGTCGGTGGCTGGCCAAAGAAATCAGAATTAATCAGAACTGCCCATTAAAAAAAATAATAACCTTTATCACTTGCATTGAATTGAGTCTTGCCAGAGGTTGGCTGTGATCCTGACATGAGGTACATGGGTCCCAGGCTTCAGAGAAAGTCTATTACCCCCAATATTTTCAGTCCAGAGAGAAGGTGGAATGATTTGTCTCTTTTAATAAGATTTCCAGACCAATTTCTCAAGCTAATAGGTTCTACTGTGCCTCAAACAAGACTCCTATATTTTGGGACACCTCTCTACATTTGATTTTCCAGGTCACTTTCCCATAATGCCCAGAGGGTGGGGAAGGTTGCAGGGTCCTTCTAATCCTAAATCGGAGCCATCCTGTCACTTAAGGTCCTTAATTCGTGAGACCACAGCAGCACCGTGACATCCAGCTGGGTGATGTGTGGGCACATGTGGTGTTTGAGCTGCCAAACATCATCAGGTCTCCCCACAGCCCAGGATGTCACACATAATCCAGCCATGGGAAGCAGGAGAAAGAAGAGAGGAAGCCAGTGTTCAGTTCCCAGTGACCTTTTAGGGCTCAGAAAGGATTCCACCAACAAGAATGTCCTCTTTTGTTTAGCTCAAGGCTGTCCTGGTGTCCAAGTGGTGGGATGGTGCCTCAGTACGGGTACTGCCATTTAGGTCTATGTACGCTGTGTAGCAAAACGTAGTGGGGCTCCCACTTGAAGTGCTCTGGGTTCAAATCCCAGCCCTGATGCCTTCCAGCTGAGTAACTTGGCCAACTCTTTTAGCTTCTCTGGGTTATGAGTGGCTGGGAATCTAATGTGTTACTTATCACGGGATATTTAGTGAATATTCAACAAATGTGAGCTATAGTTAGCAGGCAGTGTGTGGGGGGTGGTTATTCAAAACAAGAGGGATAAACTGAGGGTTTTATTTCCCCCCCTACTTACTATCCTTTATGAAAATTTCGCCTTAGGATAATAGCCATACGACTGCCCTTGTGAAAATTCCTGATCAGCCAGCTTGGGGTAGCAGTGGGGTGGGCAGTATCCTGGGCATGGGGACACTGCTCTGCATGTCAAAGGAGAGAGAGCTGTGGGTTGTTATTAAGAGGGACCTGGGAGATGACAAAGTTTGGGAGCATAGGAGAGCCAGTGAAAGGGTGGAAGGTGGATCACTGTTTCATGTAACCCCCCAAACTCCTAAGTATTCAGTAAATTGATAACATGTACAGTGCTCAATGCACATGGATTTCTTGTAGAAACCAGTGAAGAATTGAACTTTGCTCCCTGGGAAACATGGAAATGGAGCAGAGGCCACATATGTGAACTGAGGAACCTGAGCATGAGCACATAAATTACATGAGCATGTAAATACCAGTGATTTACAGAACTCTTGGGGAGGGAGGCTTATGGTTTCTTTTTTTTCTTAAGCTAACAATTAGTATTTTATTATTTAAAATTTTTTTTTATTTTAATTAGCATTAGTTAACATAGTGTTCTGTGAGTTTCAGGTATACGGTATAGTGATTCTGCTCTTCTATCCATCACCCAGTGCTCATTATGACGAGTGTACTCCTTAATCCCCATCACTTATTTCAACCATCCCTTCACCCTTCTGCCCTCTGGTGACCATCAGTTTGTTCTCTGTAGATAAGAGTCTGCTTCTTGATTTGTCTTTCTTCGCTTTTTCCTTTTGCTGGTGTGTTTTTCTTCTTAAATTCCACATGTGAGTGAAGTCATATGGCAATTGTCTTTCTCTGACTTATTTCACTTAGCATAATACTCTGTAGCTCCATCCATGTTGTTGCAAATGGCAAGATTTCATTCTTTTTTATGGCTGAATAATATTCCATTGTGTGTGTATGTGTGTGTGTGTGTGTGTGTGTGTGTACACACACCACATGCTTATCCATTCTTCAATCAATGGAAACATTATTGGCTATTGCAAATAATGCTGCTGTAAACATAGGGGTGCATGTATCCTTCTGAATGGGTGTTTTTATAGTTTTTGGGTAAATACCCAGTAGTGCGATTGCTGGATCATAAGATAGTTCTATTTTTAAGTTTCTGAGGAAAATCCATACTGTTTCCCACAGTGGCTGCACCAGTATGTATTCCAACAGTGCAAGAGGGTTCTCCTTTCTCCACATTCTCAGCAACATCTGTTGTATCTTGAATTCTTGATTTTTTCCATTCTGACGGGTGTGAGGTGTAGCTCATGGTAGTTTGGTTGGTATTTCTCTGATGATAAGTGATAACGAGTGTCTTTTCATGTATCTATTGGCCATCTGGATGTCTTCTTTGGAGATGTCTGTTCATGTCTTCTGCCCATTTTTAAATTGGATTATTGTTTTTAGGGGGTTGGGTTTTCTAAATTCTTTACATGTTTTGGATACTAATTCTTTATTGGATATATAATTTGCATGTATCTTCTCTAATCTCATTGGTTGCCTTTTAGTTTTGTTGATTGTTTCCTTCCCTGTGCAGAAGCCTTTTATTTTGATGTAGCCCCAATAATTAATTTTTGCTTTTGTTTCCCTTGCCTCAGGAGATACATCTAGAAAGAAGTTACAGTTGATGTCAAATAAGTTGTTTGTGTTCTCCCTTAAGATTTTTATGGTTTCCTGCCTCACATTTAGATATTTACTCCATTTTGAATTTATTTCTGTGTATGGTGTAAGAAAGTGGTCCAGTTTCATTCTTCTGCATGTTGCTGTCCAGTTTTCCCAACACCATTTGCCAAAGAGACTTTTTCCCATTGGATATTCTTTCCTGCTTTGTTGAAGATCAATAGACCATACAGTTGTGGGTTTATTTCTGGATAGTCTATTCTATTCCATTGGTCTGTGTATCTATTTTTATATAAGTTCCATACTGTTTTGATTATTACAGCTTTGTTTATAACTTAAAGTCCAGAGTTGTGATGTCCCCAGCTTTGCTTTGCTTTTTCAAGACTGCTTTGGCTATTTGGGTGGAGTCTTTTGTGGCTCCATACAAATTTTAGGATTGTTTGCTCTAGTTCTGTGAAAACTGCTGTTGGTATTTTGATAGGGATTGCATTAAATATGTACATTGCTTTGGATAATATAGATGTTTTAACAATAATTGTTTTTCCAATCCATGAGCATGGAATGTTTTTCCATTTCTTTGTGTCAGTTTCTTTCATGACTGTTTTATAGTTTTCAGAGTACAGCTCTTTCAGC